TGCGAATCAGGCTGAGCTGAACTAGTTCAGATGGTGCCATGCTTCATGCGGGGTTTTGGAGTAATCTGATCTGCAGCAGCTAATGTGCTGTGGCACTGTTTGTTTAGCCCTGACAGGTTTTGCACTTGTCTCCCCAATTTTGAACATTGGGCTGATACTTGTTTTCACACATGCCGTTCAGCCCTCCTGCCTCATTCCCTTTTCTCCGCGCGGCTGTGTTCCAACAGGCTGCATCAGAATCCCTGTTCTGTTGCACTGTTGTGGTGCCGACTTGTTTTCACTTCCATAACAACACTTGCTTCATCCCCTGACCCATTTGTGCAAGCACCAAAAGCACCCTAATACTCAGCACAGCTGTTCACTAACTAATGTTGTTACAGGTGGCTGAGAATGTGCTGAAAGGTTTTGTTCTTGGCAAATAAAAAGCCTCCTATCTTTGTTCCTTTACACAAAAGGAGAAAAGGAAGTTGAGCTATTTGACCAGGATTCTGAGTCTGTATTATGTAAAGGCTGATGAAAGTTGGTCGTCACTCTCCCTCAGTTGCACATGGGTGTGTGGATGAGCCCAGTTCTGATCTTTCTCTGGCAGCAGGTATGTTGTTATTAGTCTATACTTTCCATTACTCTTCAGTTTTTTCTGTTGAGGTAACATGTCGATCAGAGTCCTTGTGTGCGCACAGGCCTGCTCTAGCCCCAGGTTTTGAACTGGTATAACTGTTTTGGTTACGGAATGGTTTTCCTAACTGATGTAGAAGTGCTGGTACATCCAACAGTGAGTGCAGTGCTGTCAGACCAAAGGTGCCTGGCACTAGGTATAACTTCCCTTCCTGGGGGGGGAATAGTCTATTTTGATATAAGCACTTTTGAACTGATAGAACCACATCCATCGGTGTCGTTTGACTTCTATGTTTGGGGTGTGGAGAGGCCAGGAGGATTAATACTATTTTATTATAGGTATAGTTCTAGCTTCTGGATTTAATTATTGTTAGTGGTACTTAAATTATAGTGTACTTGAACAAATACAGTGGCATTAATTAATCACCTTTTTGTTTTAACTTATTTGCCTTGTTTACCAACTACCATTTAAAAATCAATATTAGCATAAAAACTAATTATTGAATAACAGAACTGAGCACTTTCATGTAACTGTGAATGACACGTCTCTGGCTTTAGAAAGGCACAAACTCGTGATGCACACACCAAACAAATCCATCATTAAAACCTGTCCCCTTTGTCCATGTGCCTAAGGATGTTCCAGTCCCATTTTAGTTTCCCTTTTCACTCTTGTCACTCCCTTGGGTTCGATGCCGTCAGTGCTGTTGGCTTTGCAGGCCCAAGAGATGCAGCTCAGATCTTATGTTCACTTGCTACGGTGCTACCAGTGCTGATTAGAAGGAGGCCTGTATTTCTTGGCCAATATGTGTTTCTGGGGCAAGTCTATTTTATAGCTGTGGTGTCCAACCGGTTCTGAAGTCACTATAGTGGCTACTACCACACTCAGCCAGCCAAATAGCCACATGTGGCTAGTGGCTAGCATGTTGAACACCAACGTTTTATAGGTTAGTAAAATTGAAATGGCTTTGAGATGAAACTCTGCTCTGAGTGTCAGGATCTGTTCTCCTGCCCTCCCCGTAGGCAACCCAAAGGAGGGAAACTGATCTCCCCCCCCCTAAATGTTTCTTGGTGGGGCCACATAGAAGGGAGAAAACTGGCCTTTCCCCATGCATCATCTGTAACCCATCCAGTTTTTTGGGGGGGCAATGGCCTCCTCACTCTCCAAAGCTCTCCACCTCCCTGAGAGGAGGCCACGAACATGGAGTGTGTTGGAGGGAGCAGCTCTCCCATCGACATAGCGCTGTCTACGTGGATGGTTATGTCGGGACAACCATGTCTTTCAGTGGATTTTTCATGCCCTTGTGAGGTAATTACGCTGTTGTAGGCATGTAGTTTAGACCAGACTTCCCTTCCCTTCTCTGTGCCTCAGATTAAGGCTACACTGCAATAAACAACCCCCCTCTGCCCCAATCCTGAGGCAGCGCTTCCCAGAGCTTGGGTCAAATGTCTTGGGCTTGTGCTATGTGGCTAAAAATAGCAGTGTAGACATGGAGCCCTGGCCCAGCAGCCCAGTCTCTTTGCTGGGTTCCCGTGCCCAGGCTCCAGCTCGGATGGGAACATTTACACTACTCTCCTTAGCCCTTAGCACGAGTCAGTTGAACTATTTCTGATATTTTAAAAATGAGTAATCCTGTGGCACCTTAGAAACTAACGTGTGTTTGTGTGTCTGTCTGTCTATCTCTCCCTTGCCCCTCCCATATATGTTTTTGTGGGGAAACCCCCGATATTTGCTCCTACTGGGTGTTCTTTGTTTTATGTTTTGTGTGGTACAGGTGTGCCCTCAGTTTTCCTGCCTGTTACATGGGGAGCAATCTCTGCCTCTGACAGTTGTTGGGGAGCCAAGCTCTTCTGTATGAAGTGCTTCGGAGACCTTGGGTGATGATGCTGTTGCAGTACTCTTACATTGGGTAGATTGGGTTACAAACAGTCTCCAAGTGTGTGTCTAGACTAAAGGGTTTTGTCGACAAAAGTGGACGTTTATCGTCAAAACTATACCTGCATCTACACTACCACCGAGTTTTGTCGACGGCTGTAAACCTCATTCTACGAGGAATAACGCCTTTTGTTGACAGTTCTGTCGACAGAAGGCGTATTGCATCTACACTGTCCTTTGCGTCTATACTCTCATGTCGACAAAGCGGCTTGCTTTGTCGACACAACTGGATGTAGTCTAGATGCTGGATGTAGTCTAGCCTGTAGTCTAGCCGTACCCTCAGATTGGTTTCCTTTACACTCTGGCATTTACAGGGCCCTTTTAATTTTGTTACACTAAAATTAACTGGCCTGTATCTTTTCTCATACCTATGAACTTACGTTCTGTTTGTTTTTTCTTTTAATTCAGAGTTCCCTCAAGCTTTGACTGGGTGGATGATGGCACTTGTATTCATTTGGTGGGCATTTTAGGATACTCCTTTTGTCAGCTGTCTGACAAGTAAAACTCCGGTTAACTTATTTGGTTTGCATTTTGTAAGACGCTATTTAGGAATTCTGACTGTACCTGTACATGCATAGGGAGTAGCTCAGAAAATCTTGCTCTTTGCTGGAGACCACAGTCTGGCCAGAACCTTTCCAGTTATTGTGCTACAGGGAAAAACATGGGTGTGTAGCCAGTCCCACTGAAGGAAATGCATTCCAAACCCGTTGGACTTGGACCCTTGGTTATGCGGAGGGGGAAGGCTCTTTGCTGGCATTCTCTAGCTTAGTTTCCATGCCGTGATTTTTGTTACCACTCGTGTGACATGTTCCAGTCCAGCACACCTCCCAGGAAAAAGCCATTGTTACCTTTTAAGCTATTCTCTGGAACGTTCTGCCTAGTCAGAGTTTGACGTCAATCTCTGTTGAATAGTCACAAACTCCACAGAACTGTTACTTGGGACTACTACCAGGGTTACAATTCAATTGCTTGACACTGTTCCTTTGGAAATAGCTGCCTTTTAAAACCCGTGTTTGGGGTTCCCTCTGTTCTCTGAATTGGATTGGTTACAGGCCTATATCGTTCAGAGAGCCCACATGTTAACACACGCTCTGTTGAGACTGGTGCTGCCAGGTGTTGTGCCGCCTGCTGTTTCCCGGGCAGCAAAAACACTTGATTCTCGTGTATTTGGGACTTAGAACTTATTGTTCCTTGGAGGCGTTTTCAGACTCTGCCTCTGTCCTACAGGCTTCTTTCTAAAATATAAAAATGAAAGCTCGCTAGTTTGCTTTGTGAGGAAGCTGCTGTTCAAGCAAAGTCTGTTTTCCTGAATGTACCTATTGCACAATAACAATGTGTTAGGATAATGGATCAGTTAGTCTTATCAGCCTCTAACACAACATACCTGCTATGTCAACAGAAGTGTCTCAGTGTCTTTAGACGGTCTCGTAGTGCACAGCAGCTGAAGTGTCAGATATAATTGGACCCTGCTCTGAAGAGCTTGGCTTCTGCAAGTACACCAGGCTTCACACAGGCGATGTTGTCTAGTAGGCAGGGCACTGAGACCTGGCTTCTATTCTCAGCTTTGCTAACTGGCCCATGAGGTGCCTTTGGGCATGTCTCTGAACCACTCTTGAGTCTGAGCTCTCCATCTGTAAAATGAGGATAACAATTCTTCCTTTGACTTGTCTGTTTAGACTGTCAGCTTTCTGAGGCCGGGGCTTTCTCACATTGTGTATACGCATGATGCCTACCATAAGGCTCTACCAAATTCACAGTCCTTTTTGGTCTGTTTTATGGTCTTAAGATTGAAACAATCATAAATGTAATGATTTCAGCTATTTTAATCTGCAGTTTCTTAGCGTTACAATTGTAGGGGTTCTGACTCCAAAAGGACTTTGTGTGTGTGTGTGTGGGGGGGGGAGCTGTAGTACCACTGTAGTACCCTTGCTTGTATGTTGCTGCTGTTGGCAACACTGCCTTCTCAGCCAGACTGGTGGCTGCTGACCAGGTTCTCAGCTCTGAAGGTAAAGCCAATGCCAGCAGCAGCACAGAAGTAAAGGTGGCATGGTATTACACTGCTGTGCTGCTGCCGGAAGGGCATTGTTTTCAGAGTGAGCAGCTGGAGAGTGCCGGCTGCTGACTAGGAGCCCAGGTGTGAAGGCAGAGCTACTGCCAACAGAAGTAAGGATGTCATGACATGGTATAGGCACCTTCGCTTCTGCTCTGCTGGGGTGCTGCCTTCAGAGCTGGCTGCCTGACCAACAGCCACCCTTCTCTGGCTGCCTAGCTTCGAAGGAAGTGCAGAAGTAAGGGTGACAGTACTCTGACCGCTCCCACCTTGTGACATCCCCTGGGACTTTTCAGCTTAGAACAGAGGAGACTGGGGGGATTTGATAGAGGTCTATAAAATCATGAGTGGTGTGGAAAAAGTGAATAAGGAAAAGTTATTTACTTGTTCCCCTAACACAAGAACTAGGGGTCACCACATGAAATTGATAGACAGCAGGTTTAACACAAACTACAGGAAGCTTTTCTTTACGCAGTGTACAATCAGCCTATGGAACTCCTTGCCAGGGAGGTTGTGAAAACCAGGACTTTAACTGGGTTCAAGAAAGAGCTAGATAAATTCACTGAGGTTAGGTCCATCAATACTTATGAGCCGGGATTGGTAGGAATTGTGTCCCTAGTCTCTATTTGTCAGAGGCTGTGAATGGATGATGGGGCAGGGATCACTTGACGAGTCCCTGTTCTGTTCACTCCCTCTGGGGCATCTGACATTGGCCACTGTCAGACGACGGGACACTGGGCTGGATAGACCTTTGGTCTGACCCAGTATGGCCATTCTTATGTTCTTATCCCCTTCTGGGTCAGGACCTCAAATTTGAGAAACTGGGGTCTCCCATGCAATTTGTAGTACAGGGTAAAAGTGCAGAGAAGCCCCAGTTTCACAGTTTGGATGTTTTATTACATGGCTGTGAATTTGGAAAGGCCCTAGTTTTGGGGCCATGGCCCAATCTCATCTGGGTTCCGTAGATGGTACTTTAATACAAATAACTAGATAT